TAAATATCCCATACCTCAGATGCATCTGTTTGGAATGTTATAAACACCAGATGCAGTTTCTGAATTCACAACAAACAATAGCCAGCTTTTCCTAAAGCTTTTTTTTTTTTGTTTATACATTTTTATGCCAACACTAAGTTCTGCATAACTGGAAGGTGAAAGGCATGGAAGTTATGTTTCAACCGTTATTTTACAGTTCTATGTGTTTGTCATGAAGTGTTCTTGTGTAGAAGAACCAAAGTTCACACAGGGACACTGAGTGAACATGGAGATTACTTGTTCAAAAAGAAGTATTTTACAGAACAGTAAAGAAAGATGCTAGTACATGAACAGTGAAAGAATGGAACAGATTCAATGACCAGCAGAGTGCCAATACCCTCAGGGATGTCTGGGGGAGGACATGATACTCCTCTGTTAGTTAGGAGGCTTTATGTAGCAGCTGAAACAGAGAGGAAGAAACTGAGGAAACATTACACCTGAACTAATGGCAGCTAACTTCATCTCTATGCACACTTGACTTCTTCAATCATTTGAAATCTCTCCAGTGCTATGGCCCACCTTGAAAAACCATCCTATACAAAAGCTCTTAAATAATTTTGGTCATGTATCGTCGATGGGAGAGAGGCTCCAATTTTTTGGATGTAGTTCAAACCTCATAAAAAATATATTTTTTTCCAAAATTTTAGTCTATCCTTGGGCATTTGCCTTCACAACTTGAATACAGACATGTGTGGAGCAGGTGGAAATCTTTTTTTTTTTCCTCAAACCCATTTATTTTTCTATCTTAAAGGGGTCATAAAATGATTCTATAGGGTATTTGGTGCTGGTCCTTACGGTCTCTAAATAGGGTGTGTAACATTGGTTGGCCTGAAAATGGCATATTTACTGTTCTATGAGCCCTAATGCTAGCCTGGTTAAAAGCCCTAGAATGAAATGACAGGTTTTCTTCCTTTTATGGTATGCTCATGAATATTTAGACGAGCTGTGCGCTGATTAGTTGGTTTAAAACGAGCGAAGCTGCTGAGCAAAGACGCATCATAGCAACAAACACTCACTCACTGAAACATTGAAATTGGTGATAAGGTAGGGTGACCAGACCTCCTCTTTTTCCCGGACATGTCCTACTTTTCATCCCCAAAAAAATGTCTTGGGGGAATTTCAAAATTGTCCGGGAATTTGGTTGACTACAGTGCAGCACATAATAGAAACTATCGGTGGCCACCAGGGGACGGAGCGACCGAACCCGACCCATTGACGGTAGCCTGGACAACAGCGGCCCCCTGGCCGCCGGCGGGGGGAAGAATACCGTCACCCGCTCCGTCCCCCGTTGGGGCCCGGTCCGGTCCAGTCAATGGCTCAGCAGCCCCCCGGGGCGTACAGGCCAGAACTAAATAAGGCAATCCGGAGCTTAATTTGTCAATTCGGTGCTTAATTTGAATTTGCCTGTTTTATGGTGGAAGTTTAGAATTGTGAGATTTGCAGAGAAAGGAGGTGTCGATGGGGTTTGACATTCTCTGTATGTCCATTTCACCCATTGAACTATCATTATTCATCTATGACAATGTTAACTAAATTTTGCATTCTATGACCCCTTTAACAAAACACTATTCTAGTTTAACAGCAAGATGCCATATGGCCATTTTGGCAGTTTTTCTAATGGTAATGCTTTGCTAGTAATGTGGGGTGGGGTGAAAAGCTAGGATAATTTTTATTTTTCAAATAGAAAAGAAACTGAGAGTGCCCTGATGCTCGACTAATTTTTACTTTGGTTGATGTGGGTCTAATTAGAAGCTAATTAGAAAAAAAAATTAAAGTAGGTAGCAGAGGGATCAATTTACCTCCAAAGATCTGGCTAGATGTATCTTTGAAGTCAGGCTTGGTTGAACACATTATGATCTCAAGATGTTCAGATAATTTGGACTTTACCCCAAATAAGAAGGATGCAAGCTCTAAGGCCAGGATGGCACAGGCATTTGAATCATATTTTACCTTGTTTTTAACTGAGTGACTTTCAATACAGATTTTTTTCAGGCACAAGTTATCCCTATCATCATTACCCTGATGCTAGGGAGCAGTGGCAAACTAGGACAAGATTTATATCAAAAATAGAAATTGAGTGCTGTCTTGACATTGTTATAACCAACTTCTTACGCATGTTTCATACTGACAAATGCGTCTATATGCATGCAGAATAAATAGAAATACTACACAAATAATTAATAATTAATGGATTAACTGTTTAACGGCATCTATACAATGAATCACAACACATATAAATACTGATGCATTCACATTTAAACTGTATGCAGTTAATTTGTGCGCACAATTTCCCCTACCATTTTCCAAAATAGTTGAACCCGTCCTAACATCTGTTTTAGTTGTGGTTGTGGCACTAACAGCTCTGTTTTCATTTGAAGTTTGATAGTGCTCAGGTGCAACAAAAAAAAAGATGCAATCGATAGGTTAGTTTGCACATGCTTCCCTCTGAATTCCAAACGCAAATCACTTTACACCTTCTTCTACATCTTCTCTGCACATGAAAACACATTTAGATCTGTTTTAAGATACACAAATAATTTTAGGATCAGTCCTTTTGCGGTTGAAGCAAACAGCTTTTAAAACCTTTGTGTCATAACTGCAGACTAGATATGATATGGCTGTTTTTAATTAGTAATGAAGAAAAGTACACTATGATTAGTAATAGAGCCCAGTGAGACAAAAATTAATTGTAGCTTACCTGAAAGGAAGAGCAGAAAACAGATCAATGCAGGAACCATGACTCCAAACTGAGAGCACAGCAGATCCACGCTGATAAGGGGGAAGACTTCTTATATTGCATTAATTGCCATGGAAGGCCAACACCCTCAGCACTTCCATTTTAAAACGCTACCATTATTGCTACGTTAAAAGCGTTCACTTGTAATTTCTTTGTGGTCAGGGATATAGGACTTTGCCTAGTAAACAAGTTGAAGCTGACAAAATATCAAGATATAAAAATAGGAAAATATCAATCAACAGCAAATGGATATTAACCACATTGAACAGAAGTACTCAACTAATAATTCAACAAAGAGACATTTCAATGCATGTGTGCTGTGTTAAAGCTCATTAAACATGAATAGATCAGTGCAAGGTTTAAATATACTTAATTGTTGTATAGTGACTTTGTAAGCTGTCTTCTCTTCTGATGACAACCATCATGTTCTTATCAAAACAAGATTTGGTTGCTTTAACTGACAACTGCTGCTGAACCACTGACTGGATGAATATTTTTGACATGTAAATAAGCACTGGAAAAAGAGATAGTTTAATAAAGCTTTCGAGATTGGAAAATGGAAATGATTCAGCATTTCTGCTGGATAAACTTATGTATAGATTACCTGAGTTTGCGAAACAAATTACTATACATGCAAATCTGAAATCGCAGTATTAAATCTTCAAGATTTCAGCAATCTAATCATAACTTTCACGATTCTGCCCTTTATGGTACTGTTTCAGTTTTCTTTTTGAGTTTTCAGTTAAACTTTGATTCATGTCTTCCTGTGTTTTCAAGGTCATTGGTTTGTTTCAGGGCTGCACAGAGGAAAAGCGGGTATCGCTGCTGCATTGCAGCAAGACGGTTCTGGTTCAATTCTCAGTCCGGGGTCTTTCTGCATGGAAATTGCATGTTCTTCTGTGCATGCATGGAATCTTTCCGGGTACTCTGGCTTCTTCCCACAGTCCTAAAACATGACTTTTAGGTTAATCGGCTTCTCTAAATTCTCCTCAGGTGTTAGTATGTGTGTACATGGTTGTTTGTCTTGTTTGTCTGTGTGTTGCACTGCAGTAGACTGGCGACCT